GCTCAAAAAGATGGCAAGTGAATCACAGGTATTAGAAGTTGGCCTGTCAGAGGACAAACTTCCTCGCATCTGCTTTCCCTCCATTTAGATGTGTAGGTGGTTGACAATGATGGTTTGTTGGCTATACAGGACCCTTCAAAGCTCATGATGTTTCCTTAACCTTGGAAGGAATGAGCTGTGCTGGAGAAACACCATGTGGGGAAAAGAACAGGAGATGGATTCCATGGGTGCCCCATACCTGAGATCTGAACAGGGAACCAGCAGACAGAGCCTTGGGGCTGGGCTCTGCTTGTGTACAGGAATAAGACTGGTGTTTATGGGCACTAGGGAGGCAGCGGAGGGGTCTGGAAGGAGGTGAGCACATTAACAGGGCCCCCAAGCCGTGCAAATCTCAGTGGTGGCACTGTTCAGGATCCAGAGACAAGTTCAAGTCTCAAAGATGTAACTGAGTGGGCTCGGCTATAAGTCATGCCAGCAGAGCAGGACAGATGCCAGAGCGGGGCCAGTTGCAGAAGGTAGAAGGACATTCATGTATCCCATACAGGGTATAATTGGCAGAGTTGCCATAACAAATGACCACAAACTTGGTAAATCAAAACAAAAAGAATTTATTTTTGTTCTGAAGTCCAAAGGTATTGTCAGGGCTGGTTCCTTCTGAAGGCTCCAAAGGAGTCTATTTCCGGCCTCTCTCCCTAGTTCTGGTGCTGCTGCGATCCTTGGTGTTCCATGGCTTGTAGCTGCATTGTTCCAATCTCTGCCTCCATCAACACTTGATCTTCTCTGTATGTATGTGTCTGTGTGTCCTCTCTTCTTAGAAGAACACTAGTCCTTGAATTGTGGGCCCAACCCAGTTGATGACTTCATCTTAACTTGATTACATCTGCAAAGACTTTATTCCAAATATGGTCCTACCCACAGGCACCAGCCATTAGGATCTGAACCTAATTGTTGGCACTGTGCACAAGTCAACCCACTTTACGTGGCTTATATGATAGAGTGGCAAAATGTTGGGCATTGCAGTCACAATGACTTGAGTCCAAGTACTGTTGTAGCTGCTCGCCAGCTTAAACAAATCTCCTAGCCTGATCAGACCACCGTATCCTCATCTGGAATATGGTCATGACACTTACTGCCTCGTGGGGCTACTGGGAGATTGTATGAGGCAATGCATGTAGCACATTTAGTGATTCTTGGCATGTAAGAAGTACTCATAAGGATAGCAATGCTTACTATTTTACTCTAACAGGTCACAGTCTGAGTTCCAGATGCCCTAGGGCACCCCAAGCAAGAGGCAGAGCATAGGGATGAATAATTTGGTGAAAGTCATTCTTGGGAATCCCAAGTAAGCAACTGTCAACAGGACACCAGACACAGGGAACAAGCTGGGATTCAGGGAATAAGTTTTAGACCCTGAGGCAGGTCTTTGTCCTAAGAGAAGGGAGACCTTTGCCAAACTGGGACTACAGTTCCAATCCCATTCTGAAAACCTTGTAGGAGGTGGCCCAGGTGCCAGGGATATAAGGCTGGGGTCCAGTCAGCACCCAGGATGCCTGGATCCTAAGGGTTGAAAAGTGGAGCTGAGTAAATCATTCTTGCCTTCAGTACAGGGAGCTGGAGCTGTTGCAGAGCAGATGAGGCCAGGTTTCTCCATGCAAGGGCTGAGGCGAGCAAGAGGGGCTGGAGCCAGGTGCATCCAAGCAGGTCCTCAGTAAGTGGAAAGCTGCTTATGGGGATGAAACGACGTCCTAGGAAGACATCGTTCCTGCTCCAGAGGTTTAGAAATGTACACACAGGTCATCTGTGAGGCAGGAAAATTCAATAAATCACCTGCAAGACCGATGAAGGAGACAGACAGGTCAGAGGTTTGGTTTTGTTCGAGGACATGCTTTCTGTAAATATCAGAGTAAAGGTAAGGAGCTTCTCCAAGCCTCAGTTTCCCTCTATAAAAGATGTGGCATTGGAATAGATGTTCTTGAACGTCTTGTCCAGCTCTGACAGAGCATTATTTTATGAATCATCCTGGAAGAAAATCTGTATGAGAGGGAAGAGCCTGCCAAGGCTGGGCCTTTCATTCTGAGTAATGAACTGAAACAGCAAAGGCTTGACATCTGTTCCGATCTTTCAGGGGAAGTTGGACAAAATAATGCTTTTTTCTGGGAAATCGTTACCAACAGTGAAATATAGTATTTCCTGCCTACACCCAAAATGAAACAGAGAACACCAGCCTTCCTGAAGCCCAGGGGAGAACACATACCAGAACTCTGAGTGAGGGTTACATAGGCCAATTATCTCGCTGCTGTAGGCACAAAACACCACAGACACTGCTATTTCTCAACCCTATGAGAGCCTGAGACCACAAAGAATGGCAAGGAGATTCCAAAGACCCTTAGAGGGCCTGGGGGCGGTGGGGAGCCTATGGCCCTATGATTGGCTTCCTCACCAGAAGCTGAAGTATTCTGGTGGAATAAGCATTGCCTATAAAAACCTTGATCTCATCTGACTTACTATCAAAAGTCAAGGAAATTCTGAGGTTTTTCCCAAGAATGTACTCCAAGCTTCAAAAAATATACCTAGAAACCCACCCCCAAGTGCATTGTAAGGGAGAACAATGACTCTGGAACCAGAACAGAACTTCCCAACACAGTACACTTGAAAGGGACAGAGCTAGGGGAGGCCAGGTTTTGAATCATACGTTATGTCAACCTTATTGAAGATCCTAGAACTTCAAGACTGAAAGAGACCTTTCAGAGGGTCTCATGTTGGGTCCTTCACTACTCAGGAATCCTGTCTACAGCTCCAAGAATGTCTTACTCAACCAAAGCTCCGTGACAACAGGGACTAGGTTTCTTACTCACTGCTTGGGCCAAGGCCTAAACATAGCAGGTCTTGAGCACATGTGCATTAGCCTTCTGCACCTTCTCTGAGAGTTCTGTTCCCTCCATTACCCTCCTTTGTCCATGCCATGGTGTGAGAGGGCTTTCAGGAACTAGAGTAGTAGCAGTTGCCCTTCTTCTGCCTTCAAATCCAGGCAAGTTCCAACACACACTCAGACATTACAAAAAGAGGGTCCCAGTACAATGATCTTTTGTCATAGGCTCCTCCTCCATACCTTCCCTTGGTTCTGGAGTTTACCAAATTCTTGGACTCCAAGTGTCCATGATAGGGTATGGGAGATGCCATTAGAAAGAGAAACACTGGGGTGAGCAACATCAGAGTCATGGGTTTCCCAGCGCCCCCCTGAGCCTAGCGCACCCACAGAGCTGTCTAGCAATTTAGGCTGGCACTTCCTTCCTGGAAGTCTGATTTCTATTGGATTTCTAATTCCCAGTCTAAGAAAAGTAGAGTCAGATGTGCTATTAATAGCTACTGTTCACTAAATAATTTGATTAATGTCCATCTCCCTACCAGACTATAAGCTCCATGAGGGCTTACATGTTTGTTTGAGTCAGCTCCATATCATTAGCACTGGCGGATCTCATAAAACAACAGATGGATGGATGTGTGGGTGGATAGAATGATGGGGCTACTATCAGGGGCTACTATCTTAGCTTAGCCCAAGCTAACAGGTAGCTGTACCTAAGACAATGCCTTGTGTGGTGGTTTCAGATGCAGGGCCACCTTACTAAAGGGTCTTTAGTGCTGGCCTTTTAGACTCCTCTTCCCTTCTGCCCTGCCCCATCTGAGGAAGGGAAGTTATAACTTGGTTTGTACTTTGAGGTATGAATAACCACCAGAACCCCAGGAGGAGCCTCTCCTAGGGGAGCGCTGTTAGAGGCTGTGAGGGGCTCGTGAATGAAGAAAAGAAGTGGTGGATTAGCCATAGCCCTCACTGCACAGAGAAACTCGCAGGCACATAAGCAGATGAGACCTAGGGCACAGGCAGCACACACTCTCCCCTTCCCACAGACATGGTAAGCCTAAGGGCATTCAGAACTGCAGGATATTTGGATGTTCTAGAAGAGGCAGCAGGTACAAAGATACAGAAGGTGGCAAGAATTAGACCACAGGAAAAGGGCAGCATCCTGAACAAGACGCAGGGTAGGCCCAGCATGCAGGTGAGAGGAGAACATTGGAAACAAGAGGCAGTTTAATGGGGCCCCGTGAGAGGACAGCAGTGGGGTAGGGGTGGAAAGATGGGGTAAAGAGAAGGGAGTTTAGATTTTTGATCAGGAAAGCTCAGACCTAAGAAATCAAACTTTAATTAAACCCCTAATTAAAATTGTGGTGGAGTAAAATGTAGTAACATATGAGCTTCCCTGGCCCTGCCCAGCCCTGCCTTCCCTCCCCATGCTACCCGCTGCTAACAAGGCCCTGAACTTGCCTGTTTGCCTTTTTCCCACCCTCACTCTCCCAGGAGGGTATTATCTTCATCCAACTAGCTTTTGGATGGGTTTTAGGAATATATCCATCTTACAGAATGGGGAAAAGCAGTTGAGTAGAGGATGGGAAGAGAAAACAGACTGAAATAAGAGGTGTGATCCTGCGTCCTCTTCGTGGTGTTTGAAAGACACAGATAAAGAACAGGAGCAGTTTTTAAATGTTTGTTCCTGCACTGTATTCATTTGACAGAGCACTGCCTTGAGAAGGGGCCATCTCCAGTAGTAATAGAGCTCCACTCTGTAAGTTTACAGCACTATCCTCTTCCTCAAGGTCATGAGCTCTTGGAGAACAAAGACAGAGTCAGATTCATCCTTGCCTTTCCACACCCTGGGCATGACCCCACCCAGAACAAGAGTTAGTGAATGTTGAAAGTAAACAATGATCAAGTGACTTTAGATTCAGGACACTAATGCCACCTCATTCCCTCATCTGCCCTTCTCCAAGAAGGTGCTCTGCTCATTTAATGGTGCTCATTCCTCTCTCTCTCTCTCTCTCTCTCTCTCTCTCTCTCTCTCTCTCTCTGTGTGTGTGTGTGTGTGTGTGTGTGTGTGTGTGTGTGTCTATCTCTATCTCTATCTCTATCTCTATCTCTATCTCTATCTCTATCTATCTCCTTGCAGAAGGCAGATCTGGCAGTGGCTCCGCTAACCATCACCCATGTCCGTGAGAAGGCTATCGACTTCTCCAAGCCCTTCATGACCCTCGGCGTGAGCATCCTGTATCGCAAGCCCAACGGCACCAACCCCAGTGTCTTCTCCTTCCTCAACCCACTGTCCCCGGACATCTGGATGTATGTGCTCCTTGCCTACCTGGGTGTCAGCTGTGTCCTCTTTGTCATTGCCAGGTAAGGCAATGCCTTGGCCAGAGCTCGAGCCCAACATTGAAGATTTAGGGAGCTCAGTGAGTTCCCTCAGCCCAAAGCTCAGGCCACTGCCATGCCAGCCGCTCTCTCGCTCCCTGTGGCTCAGATTCATATCCCTCAGGGAACATCCCATGGCCTGGTCCTGCTGTAGTCTGTGTTCATGACTCTGACGTGCAGCATTTGCAACCCAGGTCTGAGGAACAGGCTTGGAGAAGTTACTCATTGCTTACAGCTGCACTACTGGGACCAGGTACCTGGTGCAGCAGACCCAGATGCATTGCATGGCCCAGGAGTAGCTGAAAACTTGGAAAACAGGCTGTTTATGTGCAAACCACAACTGCAGGGGAACCATTCCATAAATGCACGTGTGTGTCCACATGCAGAAACACAGTATATGCACATGTGCACATGTGATATCTGGGATACATATAGTAACACAACATGCTTATATATTGGGTCATTCACATGAAATAGACATGATGAAATTGCCTGGCCCCCTGGGCCAGTGCTGTGCTGGCCACCCAATCTGGCCATCCCAGTCAGCATCTGAGCTGCCATAGAGAAGCCTTCATTATGCCTCTTGTCGCTAATGGCCTAACAAGGCTTTGAAAGCCAGGAGCCACTCTCCAGGTGCTCTCTCCATAATTTCAGTGGCTCCAGCAATCTCTCAGCAGCTGTTCCCTCTGAGACACAGCTTTCCCAGCTTCTCTTGAGTCTACTTGATGTGCGTCCCTGCCCCCTCAGATGCACAGCCTGCCATCATCAGCTGTGGGCAGCCTGGCCTACTCTCCAGCCCTTCCCTCCTGGCTAGGAAGGAAGGAGCTCGACTTCCGGGAAGAGAAGGGATTTTTAGAGGGGACTGATTCCGGATACCCTCTGAGAGAGGAGGGTGATGAAGGTCTTATCCACAGAGCTGAGAAGGGCATCATAGTATAGTTGTCACTTGTGGAGCACCCACACAACACGTTTCAAATCCTTGCTACAGCTTTGCGAGGTAAGTATAATTATCTCCATTTTCAGAAGCAGAAAACGAGGCTCGGAGAGGTTACGCCACTGCCCAGAGTGAGAAAGCTTTTCTTTGCTACAGTTGGGCCAGAGCTGTCCAACTTTAAACCAAACACAGTTGGTGCCAGGGCAGGCAGGTGGCATGAGGGAGACAAGCAGCCAGGTGATGGCAGCAGCGGTGGTCAGGATTGAAGCAAACCGGAGCGCACACAGCTGACTGGTGGGGACAGCCACTGCTCAGCACCAACACACCAGCTGTGCTGAATAGAGACGCAGGGCCCATGTCACTGCACTCAGATTTCTAGAGTGAGACTCAGGTTTTGATGTGACATCTCCTTGTATTTCTGTGTGGCCAAAAATTTTACAGTACTATCAGGGTCAAGCATAAGACATCTGCAGTGTGGACACAGCTTCCTCCGCCCCCAACTCCATCCCATGACCTGTGCCTGTGGAGCACTGCATGCCACTGCTGGACATCAGGACACAGTTGCCCATGCCCCTAAAAGATAGGATCTGCAGGTATGGGCAGGTCCCCAGGCTACTCCTAGGCAGCTCCAGCATGGCACAGGCCATCCACATTGCAAACTAACCCAGCCCGGGTTCCAGGCATTGGATGAATGGCTTCATGCCCAGTAAGTTAGAAGGACACAGGAAGGGAGCAGAGGACACTTTCCCACCACTGAGATGGCAGTGGGTGCTTATGGCAGGGATGTAGTCCTAAGTGCCTGGTCCAGGAGGTAGCACCAAGGGTGAGCCACTTTCTGGGCCAATTCTGCATAAATGTGTATCCCAGGGAAGAGAAGGCCAAAGTTGATGTCCTGTCTATACCTCCATGGGTGGAACCAGGGTGTAGCTTTCTCCCCTGAATGGAGTCAGAGTGTCGCCAGGTTAAGGGCTCCTAATTCCCATGTGCTTATAAGTGGAGCACCCTAATACAGCTTCAGCCATAAGTCTAAGATCTACTATTTACTCACATGGCACCTGGCTCCTTTGTCCAACAGCCATCCATCCCTTCCTCTTCAACCCTGTGGAGTCTGGACCCTCTGTCCTCTGCCTGCAACATCACAGTCTCACACACGCGTGCACACACACACACACACACGCACACACACGCACGGACACCTGTTGCTGTCCACCTTCAGAGAGCGGTGAAGATCCCACCCAGTGACAGCACTGACAGTCAGGCGTCCCTTCCAGAGTCAGTTATTTTTATTCCATCGTGGAGAACTCATCCCATTGAAGTGTCATCAATGAGACACTCTGGAATCTAAAAAGACTTTCCAGAAAAGCCCCAGAGGACAAGGCCACCTGTTGCCATTGGTGTCCCTAGAGGCTACCCAAGGAAGCTTCCTTTAGCCGAGTGCACACCAGTGGGAAGCCAGGACAGTGCCAGTGCCCAGCAACCGAGGAATGGTTAAAGTCGCCCTTGAAGTGGTTATGGAGCACAAAGTGTATCCAGAAGAACTGATCTTGAAAGAGGTTGGTGGCTTCTTAAATGAAGAACCAAGTTCTCTGACAGTAAGGTAACATGATATAGTGTTTTTGTGTTTAAAAATGACATGATGTGAGTGTAACTAGTATGGTAAAAGAGCAAAATCCATGAACTCTGCTCAGAAATCACTTTCCACCTGTCTCCTAGGCCTCTTTCCAGTTCGCAGAGATGTCTTGTGCCCAGTGAAAACTGTCATGGCTGTGACTTTTAAGCTCACTGCCAGATCACAGAAAGTTCTAGGTATCTCTCTCAGCCTCAAAGCTGCTGTTTCCCTCCGGAAATTAGAATCTTGATCCGGTATGTTTCCCAAGATTTGTCTTCATTCATGAGTCAGAGTTCTTCCCAGCCCTACCATGGCCCCGCTGGGGCATTCCCCTCTCCAGTATATAGTCTCTGCCTGTTAGAGTTTATTACCCTTCTAGGGTGAATTCAAGGTGGACCTGGGCTGATCTCTTTTCTGACTAGGTCAAGTGGTGAAACACTTTGCACCCAGTGCCCTCAGACTTGGTGGGCCTGGGCTTGTGGCAGTGGCTATTTTGCTTCCACCTGCAAAGCATGCATCACCTGATGCCTACCCTTTGGACTCCCCCAATGCACCTGGCCAGTACCAGTGTCTTGGAAAGCCCCCTTCCCTCTGCTGTAGATACCCAGCTCTCCAAAGGCTTTCTCGAAAATCCCTTCTCACAACAGCCTCTCATCTCTGCTCTGCTGATCCTCCATCTCTTCCTTGTGGATTTTAGAGCCTCTCACTAGTGTGTGGTCAGTTCCTCTGAAAATCCTTAACTTGGTTAGAAGCCTCTCTTTGGAATCTGCCGTCTGAGAGGTCTTTCTACTTCATAGGAACAAAATTCTTCTCACATAAGAACTGGTAATCAATCTATAATGTATGATCTCTTAGAAGGGAGATGGAAAGCTGCGTCATATTTAAGGGCATCACATCAGAAAACAAAACAGAATGCACTGGACTTGTCTCTCATTCTCCCATCCTCCCCTCTCTCCCCTCCCTGCCCCCAGCCAGGAGTTCCTCCAGCGTGTCTCTACCTCTCTGGCATCTTCACACCCACATACTGCTAACTGGAACTCAGGCAGTCAACCAGGATTCCCTCCAGTAATCAGGAGTCATCATCCTTAGAGGCAGTGGGGGATTTTAAATAACATTTTCCCCTGTCATATATGTATTTGTACAGTCAAAGAGAAACATCTGAAAAAATTATATACCACATTGCTTTCTCCCAGGAGGTAGGATGCTGAGGTATTTTACTTTCTCCTTATGTTCTTCTATACTGTTTGAATTTTTCATTGAGTGCCTTTTGCTTTTCTAACATTTTTAAAAATTATACAAGACATTCAAAAGCATCTTCTCATTTTTAAAAATTCATATAATCCATATAAATCAACATCCCCCCCCACTGAAGGTCTTTCTGCCTTTCTGACTTCCCTCTCCAGAGATAAACACTGATATTCTTTATATATGGAACCTTCCAGACTCTTAAGGATGCATTCACATCTAAAAACACAGAAGGAGCTCTATATGTCTTCAGGAGTCTATTTATATAAATGTGATCATATTGTTCTGATTTTTATCACTCTCTTTTGTGCAAACATGATGTGCTGAAGATCTTTCCTCATCCACACATCTAGAAGTTCCCTGTTCTCTTTAATAGTGACATGATATTTTAAAGGACAGTTGCAGCATGGTTTATTTAGTCATCCCTCTATTGAAGGACATTTAGGTTGTTTCCAGTTTTTCAGCATCACAAACAATGCTTTGATGCACACCCTCAATCTGCTTCCTATATGTTCCCATACAAGTGCTTCTTCTCAGATGGATAATGAGTTCCAGAACTGGTAGGTGGAAGGGCATGCGCACTTTTAATTGTAAGAGGTGTGGCTGAGTTACTTTTACAATCAGAAAAGGGCACTAACTGTAAAGAACAAGAATATCCCTGACTGCTGCTTGCCTGCCTCCTGAGTGGAACCACCAGGGACGCTGGAGTGGCTGGCACCCCACACCTGTGCTTGGTCTCTGTTGGTGCAGTGCCCTTCTCTCCTCTTCCCTGCGCTCAGCCTCACTGCCTCCTTCTTTTCCAGGTTCAGCCCCTATGAGTGGTATGACGCTCACCCCTGCAACCCCGGCTCTGAGGTGGTAGAAAACAACTTCACTCTGCTCAATAGCTTCTGGTTTGGAATGGGCTCCCTGATGCAGCAAGGTATGTGCCCAATCTCCCACCTCCTCTCCCAGGAAGGGTGTCTTTCCTCCCCCAGAAAGTCCAATCTCTATGGAGTCAGCAAAGCCAGCCCATCCTCCAGGAGCAGCCTCCAACCCTGCTGAGCTACCAGAAGGTTAGAGACAGCCTGCTGTGCCCTGGACGCTGAGCTCTACCCAACTACTTCTCTAGCTGGAACCAGCTCTGGATCTAAGGCCAAAGCCTGTCAGTCACCCTGACCTATGGCTTGCAGGATGCAACCCCAGCACCTCCTACTGCAGCTGAAGTAGATGCAGAGCACCCTGCTTGCTGGGTCGACCTCTTACGGCCTCTCTTCCACAGAATCAGGCCAAGCAAAGTTGGGCTGTGGATGAGGAATACAGGAGGTAGAGAGGCTGGGCGGGAGGCCATTGCAGGAATGAGATGAGAGCTCAGGGGAGGCAGTGACCATGACTGGAGAGGGCAGAGGTAAGTACGAGAACTTTAGGAAGTAGGATAGTCAGAACTTGGTAATCAACTGGGTATGGGGACCTGGGAGTCGGAGGTCAGTTGAGGAGGAGACTTCCACCTGAGTGTATCAGAGAGGGGACCCATAGAAGGGGACAATTCTCTTACATCCCATGGAAGGACCATATATTCCTCCTGACCCTGTGCAGGCAATCAGCCTTTTGGGGGCACCCACAGCTGCTAATATACTCAGGAAGCAAAGCATCTGCTCTAACTGCAAAATGTGAGATACAGAGACATGGAGGGGCTGGGGAAGCAGGCAAAAAGGAGGACCAGCTAGGAAAGACCCCAGCAAGAGCCACCCACCCCAGCCTGCTGGCCAGCACCCATGCGCCCACTGCTTTTGCCTGTGGAGTTCCATATCCAGAGCCTTTTATCTGGGGCTTGGGGGCAACCAAGTCTCTGCCTATGTTAGAGACCCACTAACTAGGGCCAGGGAGGAGGGATTTCAAGGGACAAAGAAAACTTCCTGCCCTTTACTCTTCTGTGTATAACCCCAAGCCCCAGAGCAATGCCCTGGTTCTCAGTAGACATTCATCAGCAAATGCCTAACTAATTAACTAACAATATCATCCTGAGTCCACTACACGCCATGCTGTGTGCTCAGTACTTGAATGAAGGAGAGAAAAAGTAGCTCTCTCCTATACCTCAGAAACCATTCAGCCCCTCAGAACCCAGGGGCTGGCTCCAACCCTGGCTGGGGGTCAGCTGCCTGGCAGAGCCTCCCAAGAAAACAACTATAAGCGGCCCTTCTCCCTTGGGGGCAGCTGGGGGCCTGGCTGGAACAACCTAGGGAAGCTGGGCGCGGCTGTCTGGGAATGGGAGCTGGGCAGCCTCATGGGTTCCAGCAGCTGGGAAGTGACAGGCAGCTTTCAAGGGAAATTTCTCCCCCGCCCCCGTTCCCACTATTAACAAGTGTCCTGAAGCCTCACCTCGCTTCATAGCCCATCATCTTTGTTCAAGACAATTGGGAAGGACCTAGAAACCTCTTACTGCAGTAATAACTTCCCCTCTTTTGCTGCCTGCTGCTATTCAAAGCCCGCCCTGGCCCCCCATGCACTCCCCTTACGGTTTTGATTAGGAGGGAAAAAATAGTTATGTATTTGAAAACTCTCCCTTGAGTGATTTCTTTGAGAAAAAAAAATCATCCACATCAAAGCAGACACTTTTCAGATTGCAGGTCCGAATATTCTAGAAAGTTCAGGAGTCACTTGCTATTTAAATCTCTTGAAAGCCACCTAGTTAATTACTTCAGTTAGAAGGTTTCATCGGAATTATGCTCCACACCCAAGGTCGGGAAGGAAGAATGATATATTTCAGCAAAGAGCTTCCAAAATGTTGATTTTTCTCCTGCTTCCAAGCACCACATAGCAATCTCCTATTTGTATACGACTTGTATTTCCGATGCAATTTCTCTTGAAATTATATCATTGTAGCATCACAGTATTTCTGTGAGGCTGGGACAGAGGAAGGATGATTCTCTGTGCTCTGCAAAGTCTAAGAAAGGGGAAGTGTCTGGCATAAGCTCACACAGAGTGTTGGAAACAGGATTCACCCAAGTTCCCAGGGATTCCATCCCCATATCTTAACCTGGACCACAGGAGCGGCACATGGACAAGCAGCGGAGGACTGACACCCTGTGAACTGTTGTGCATGTGTGTGCTGTTTCATAGTAGTGGCTCTTAAATTCCAGATCAGAACCACCTGGACAGGGTGATCACAGATTGGTGGTCCTGCTCCCCACCTGCAGTTACTGATGCAGCAGGGCCTGGGGTGGGGCCTGAGAATTAGCATTCCTAACAAGCTCCCTGGTGGTGCTGGTGGTGGGCTACACTTCTGAGAGCCATTTTTATGAAAGTGTCAGCGGAGTCCCCAGCCCAGGTGACTCAAGTAGCCCTTTTCTGCACACTGTAAGACACCGCCGTCCCCTTTCTCCCAGGGTCTGAACTGATGCCCAAAGCTCTGTCTACGCGCATCATCGGGGGCATCTGGTGGTTCTTCACGCTCATCATCATCTCCTCCTACACGGCCAACCTGGCTGCCTTTCTCACAGTGGAGCGCATGGAGTCACCCATCGACTCTGCCGACGACCTGGCCAAGCAAACCAAAATTGAGTATGGGGCTGTCAAGGATGGGGCCACCATGACCTTCTTCAAGGTGAGGCACTCTCCTTTCCATTGCAGTGGCACAGGCTGACCCACCGCAGACCCGTCACTGAGCAGAAAAGGAAAAGGATGGTGGGGTCTCTCTCCTTCCCCGTAGGTCAGAGCCAATGAGCCAGAAACCCCTGGGGCTCAGCCCCTCCCTCTTTCAATCCATTGACTTTGGGGAGCTGTGTTGATATGAGCTGTACAGGTAGGTCTTGGCCCCAATTCCAGAAGTTTCTGTACCCAGGACAAGCTGTATGGGTCATCAAGGCAGGACAGGTAGAAAAAGTGAGTGTGAAGCAGAAGGAGGAGAGGCCCAGACACATGGGCATGTCCTAGAACAGTGGCCCTTGTCTTGGGGTCTTAGTGCCGTCCATCTCCGAGGGGCTGGCCTGGGGTTGGAAGGAGCTGTCCGCCACTGAAAGAGCAGTGGGGCGCATGCCCAAAGGAAGGAAGAAGGCTTAGAACTCAAAGAATCTGTTATAAACACCACTTACTTAGCATGCTACACTCTCAGAATGCTGGCATCTCCAGATAAAGTCCCCATTACCTGTGCAAGTGACTATTCCAGTGGGTGCCCAGCCATGACTTTGTTGCTCCTGTTTTGAAAATGTTGGCTCAGTTCACCAGTGCTTTTTAACCTTCTGCCAGCAAAGACCTGCCCTCTGAGAGCCAGTAGGTGTCAAGCTGCATTCAGAATTAATAATAACAGTAGCTGCCAGCACTGAGGCTCACAGTGGGACTGGTGCTACCCCCAGTGCTCAGGTTCATGTCACCTTCCCAAGTCCTGTGAGGTTGGTGTTGTAGTTATTTCCATTCTACACATGTGGAAACTGAGGCTTAGAACAGTTACTCATCCAAAGGCTCACAACTGGTGGAGCGAAAGGCTGCCCTAAGTCTGCCTTCCACCAAAACCTGGGAACTAAGCCAGTGTTGCTGGAACTTTGTGCATCCAGGTGCCCTGGAGGACTACCTACCACATGGAGCATTGGCTCCAGCCTCAGAATGCCTAACCCAGAAGGTCTGGGTTGGGGCAAGAATGAGCATTTCTAACAAGTTACTGAGTCCTGTTGGCACAGCTGATCCAGGGGCCACACTTTGAGAACCACACTCTCATGCCCTCTCAGAAATGGACAGGACTTGGAACTCTGAAGCGGCAGGTTTGTTCATTCATTCATTAATCACTTGTTTCTGTTAGCCTGAATGCCAGGTACTTCCCTTTGTCTGGGTCTCAGTTCCCCATCCCTCAGCCCTTGCCTCCTAGGCTAAGCCTCTGAGAGATGGACTGAGCCTCCCCGGGGCCAGAGTAAAGAGAGGAAGAGTGGAGCAGGAAAGCCTTCCACAGGATCCCCTAGCATTTTCCCCACCAACACTTCCACACCCCACCTTGAGGTTGGAAGTGGCTTAGGGAAGAGGAAGGAGGGGGCAAGGGCCCCTCTGAACGTTGCTACTCCAACCAGGAAGCTATGAATACCATGTGCCTAAGAAGTCACAGCGTTTATTTAGAACCAGGGGAAGATAAAAGTAACATCAAAGGGATGTTGTGAGCTCTGCGGGATTCTGTAAGTGTGTATGACTGTGAACAAGTATGATTGCATGTGTACACATACATGGCTGCGTGTGTGCAGGTAGCAATAGATACTGCATGTAACGGTGCATTTGTGTATGCAGGTGCGCACCTGTATGCCCCTGGCTGAGAGTCTGCCTGTGTGTGTACACATCTGTCTGTGCTTAGACATGAATATTTTTACCGTGTGTGTGTGTGTGTGTGTGTGTGTGTGTGTGTGTGTGTGAGCTTCTGTGCAATGCATCTCTGTGATCTGGACACATGAGTGTTTGCAAGTGTGGGCCAGAGTGTCTGTACGTACATGTGCGCAGAGATTATGTGTGCTCAGTGGCCCTGTGGGTTTGCCTAGATAAGTGGGGGAAGGGGAACTGTGTAATGACGTGTGTGTGTGTGTGTGTGTGTGTGGTGGCCCACGCATGTGTGTCTCCGTGAGTATGTGTGTGCACCTGCTTGCCTATCCCCAGGCTGCAGCCCAGCCCTTTGACTGAGCCAGAGCCTCTCTCATGCATTACGCATGAGCCTGTCTCTAAGCAGGGCTCCCGATCAAAGAGAAGCGGCATAAATAAGCCCGACACGGGCTCATTGCTGCTGATTGGATGCCCTTGCCTTCCTCTATGCTAAGATGCTCAGATTGGCTTCCCAGAGCCTAGTCCCAGCTCCCCACTGAGCCTCTGTCCTCAGCATCAAGCAGCACCTCCCGCAGCCTTCTCCACCCCCACCCACCTCCCCTGCAAATGGCATAGTGAGGAGGGCAGGGAAGGGTCACAGATGCTGCCACCCAACTGGGCTTCTGGGGCTCAAGGGCCTGTGCTCACAAGGGCCCTCTGGCCAGAAGCAGCACCTGCATATCCCCCTGTAGAACTGGCTCCACTCATTCTCTCCTGGCTCAATTCATCCCTCTGTGTCTGGCCACATTGTCTCCCGCCTCCATTCACGTGAAGCGCCTCTCCCCCAGACATCCTCCCATAGCAGCAACAGCAACAGGGCCATGATGTGGGCGGGAAGGAGTGTGGATGTGGGCACATTAACCTTGGATCTGAGGAAGGGTTAGAAGCACGGCACTCACACACAAGCTGTCTGGACAAACCTACTACCTCCCGCACCCCTGCCCTCTGGAGCTGGACCTCCTAGTCATGTCTTGCCCCAGAGCCAAGTTGGAGCCTGCTCATGATCGCGGAATGTTTGCAAGTTAGAGCTGGAAGGAGACCTGACTTTGACCTACAGAAATAGAGATGCAGAGGAGTTGGGTGTTTTGCCATAGCAGATCAATGGTGGAGCCAGGTTTAAGATCAGACACGCTATCTGCACACACAGTGCTCCCTCCTATATCCACTCTAGGGTCTTCTCCTGAGGCGTGGTCCCCTGTCCTTACCAGGTGCATATATGGTAAAGCTGATACTAGGTTTGGACAGGCATGAGCTCCAGGAGAAGCCCAGAGGTCTAGGAGACACTCATATTCACTCATCAGCCTCATAACAACCCCAGAAGGTAGATTATTATCCTCTCCATCATACACAAAATGAAAGTAAGGCTCAGAGAAGCCAGCTGATTCACCCAAGGATGAATAGCTAGTGAAATGCAGAGCTGGGATTTGAACCCCAGCAGTCTGACTGTAGTGCCAAGGCTTTCTGTAAGGACCCTGTCAAAAACCTCAGGAATCACTTGGGAAAGAATGAAGCCAGTCACCTGAGCCATACCCACAGCCCTGCACAGTCCTGGCACACCACAGTTGCTGAGAATTAATTCATTCTGGGTTGGTGCTGCTCTAGAATTAAAGGATGGAATTGAAAGGAAGCAGGAGGCCAAGAGGATCAAATTCAGGAGGTAGCACTGAGAACCAGAACCATGCAGATGGTGTCCCATGAATGTCCCGAAGTGCAGGACCAGTGAACTTCACTTCCGTGGTCCGAGGGAGACTGTGAACAGTCTTATCATCTCCCTTGGCTGACAGTAGAACACAAAGGGAGGGAGGCACCCACCGCTGCCCGAAGATGACAGGAGAAGGAAGCGGGATATCAGACTCCCGGAGCTTCCACACCTCTTGGCCTCAGCCCACAGCCTGCAAGATGTGTGGCTGGAGGCAGCCACATCACTCCAGAGGAGGTTCTGCTCAGAGTTGTCAGGGAGCAGCAGACATCACAAACAACATCTCCTGTGTTGTCCTCCCTCTGTCTTAGAAGATAAAAATTAATTAGGAGATGAAAAAGGAGGCCTTTGAAAGCACCGTTTGGCTGTAAAAATATGTAGGCAAAATGTAAAGGAGAATGTGGGGGAAAGCGTGCTCTTTGCAGGGAAGGCTGGGGAGCTTTGAAGGCAGAGGATGTGGGAAGACAGCTTCTGCAAAGATTCAGCCCTCTAGATGGAGGGGATGGGGAGCCCTGAATACCAGGGGCCAGCTGGGGAAAGCAGTGGGAGCTGAGAGCCCTGAATCCCAGGCTCCCCAGCGCTAGACATCCTCCACCTTGCACAGCCTCAGTCATAGCATCTGACCTGAAATGCACTTGGAGGGGTCACTCCATCCACGCCACACCTCCCAGGGGCATAGCAGACTCTTCCCTGAGCTTGAGGGTCCAGGAGGATGCTCCTCCATCTCAACTCCAGTTTCTCCAGGCCCATTTGCCCATGTGTGGGCAGCCTTAGCCCTGTCTTTTGGTACAGGTAGGGTAAGGAGACAAATGTCATGACCAGGCAGCATTCAGTGCATGCAGCCTGCCACAGATAGCATCAATCTCAAAGGAGACCGGGATGTGAGTCATGAGTGATGTTTCTGCTGGGTGATCTTGGACAAGTCACTTCTCTTCTCCAGGCCTCAGCTTGCTCACTTGTACATTGTGGCTTCTTGCTCCCACCCTGCAGCAATTTGCAAGACGATTCCCTGAGCTACTATCTGACAGTGATCATCCCAGTGCCAGGGGATGCTCTTGCCCTGAAGTCCCCTCCTAAGGCAGGTAACTTAACACACATCGAAGAGAGACCAGCCAGCAAATTCCTGGAGGCTCCTCCAGATCACACTGCACCGAACCTATTGGGTTTTGTAGAGGACATTGAGGTCATGGGGTGGCCACCTGCCTCTGCTCAGGGCTAAGCACTTGGGAAGGAGCCCAGAAGTCCTGAGGTGGAAGAAATGCAGAGAGAGCAGACAAGGGGGCAGCAACAGCTACAGGGCAAAGGCCAGTGATGACAGGGAAGTCATTGAAAAGTACTAAGTTACTGATGACCTCCCTGTGCCTTTGTTTTCTCATCTGTGAATTGGGTATAATACCTAGCCTCATTTAGTTCTTGAGATGATTTAATGGGGTCTTTCATATATACAGCCTAGGATGCAATACACCTGGGACAAAGAAGGCAGGCAATAACATTAACTATATTGTTCATTGTTGCACATGGGTGACACACAGTCCATAGGCATGACTTTTTGGAGGCCATGGATTGCATTACTTGTT